TCTTCTGTTTAAACCGTGGATCGGCTTTGTTGCTACATTGGACTTCTCCAACTTATACCAAGATGGGATTAACTTATTTGACAAGTAGTCATGGGCATCAGAAGCATCTGTAATGTGGGGGGGACACTGGTGTGTGTGTGTGTGCACACGCGTGCGCTTGCACGTGCGCCAGTGTGCAAAAAATTGTACACTAGTTTACAAAAAAGCAACATTTCATCTAGATTTCCTTACTTTAATTCCACTTAAAGCATGTTTCTCACCAAGTTTGTGTAAATTCAGCTGTTTTAAAGACATTTCAACTTTAATACACTTTAGATCGGCACTATTTGTGTTTATAGAGACATTAAAAACATTGCCACTGGACTTTTTTTACTTGTGTTCAACACTACTCATCAAAATGTTGTTTCTCACAGAGCTTGAGGACGATAAGGGTGGAGTTTTAAAGACATTTCAACTTTAATGCACATTAACACACAGTGTCTCTTACACCTGCAGCATCTTTTACACCTGCAGCGTCTTACAGCGTCACAGTTACTGCTAAGCTAAGATGCTACAGACGTTGCGCTCCACTTCTCTCAAACATTCTCCTAACATGTATATATGTTTATGATCAATCCCCTGGTCAACAACTGCTAGCACTAAGCTCGCTAACATGTATATATGTTTATGATCAACCCCCTGGTCAGCAACTGCCAGCACTAAGCTCGCTAAACTGGCGAGAGATCAACACAGAGGTGTCTCCATCTCCTCCACCTGTGTGCATTTTCTGTCGAGGCAGGAGGAGACACAGACCAGAAACACTGCGGGTTGGAGGAGGTAACCAGGAAAACCTGGAGTGGATTTTTAGTGGTTTGAGTATTTTCCTATTAATCAAGTGGAACAGATTTGTTCACGAAGAAAGAAACAACGCCGACTGAACTAATGTTTTATAGTAAAAGTGGGGTTGGGGGTCCAAATGAATGTTTTCTTAATCTGGGGAGGGACATGTCCCCTTCACATATAATGGTTGTGACGCCTATGCAAGTAGTCCATGGGAGGTGGTGTGTACTTGGGTTGATGGTTTTCACCATGTCCCTGCAAACATATAAACAAACATTTAATGTCACTGTTACTGTAATGTTAGCTTAGGATGTACTATTAATTAGCTTAGCTCTATTTTTATTGTGTAACTAACCTAAATGATTCCATATCTGAAAAGGGATGCAACCTTTTCACAATATATGCTGTAACCTTTCTGTGGCACTCATTAGTTAGTTGCATTGATGTCTTTCCCTTGGACGCTATGGTGAATGGAGCACATAGCAGAGTCTGCTCAACTGTAGATAACATTATTAGCAATTTCAGGTCTATGAAAAACACATGAGCTAACGTTAGCCTGGTATTTGCATTTGAGTTGGCCTACCACTTTAAGTCGAGTATAAATTGTTAGCTGCCTTAATGTTGGTATGAAATGTAGTTTATAGTTTTACTTGCCTGATTCTGAGGGTTGGAGCCAGAGGAGGATGCAGCAAAAATAGTCCGGCACAGCGCGTCAAAGACAGGGCACTATTTTACTTCTACATGATGATCCTGGAGATGTTGGTCGTGAACCCTCCTTTGCGCGATGTAAAATTATTGCAAGTTTTGCACAGAGCCGACTGGTAATTTATTTTATGAAAGTTTAACCATACTTTTGATTGCGGCCTCTCACTGTCCATGTATGCGCACACACTTCCTGTGGATTCTTCTTTGTTGGTGTTCGGTGGGAGACTTCGTCTTCGTTGGTGTTCGGCGGACAGCGTCTTCTTCCGGTTGAGTGGACTAGGCATCGAAAGTAGGAATCGAAAATTAAAAAATTCAACAATTTTTGGAGAATTGTAACGTTAGTCCCGGTTCCAATCGATTCTTGAGATTTGATGCCCAACCCTAGTTGTGTTGGCAAATGCTGTCTCACAGAAATGAGGCCCAAGAAGGAAAGTGACTATTGACTAGTGACTATGTCCTAATGAAAGTCTTCTCCGAGGTAGCCTCAGTTCAGATGCAAAAGACCTGAGTGACATGCTACCACCGCCAGAACTGGAGATGGAGAAAAGAAAATACGACATTGGCTGAGCAGGGAAAGACTTGTAAGAATTGTTGGCATCAATAAAGGCCTGAGCTAAGTCCAACAAAAAAGGACGGAGCCTCCGATGTTGACTGTGATATGCTTTGCCATTAAATAGAAACTCCTGGTTCTAAAGCCCTGAAGAAGTTGCAGTGAGATGATGATGTTGATGTAAATGGGGATGTACATTGCTTTTCTGTTGTTTTATTTTTTATTATTTATTGATACTCAGAAGAGCTTCCTGACAGTTTCCAGTATCACACATTGCATTAAGTTGCAAATTGAAGAGCAAAAGATCTGTTTGGAAAAGCTTTAGGAGTTTACTTTTATGTTTTAAATCATTTTTCCTTTTATGTTTTAGTTAAAAAAATGTATGTGTTCATGATTTACTTATATGATTTTATGCATTGTTGTTATTTTAATTTTTTATTTTTTTCTCATTTCCTGAACCACCTGGCTGGGATGCTGAAATGCGCCATAAGATTGTCGCTTAGGGCAACAGGGCGATGTGAGGTTTTCCTCCTTAATTAAACTATTTTGAACTGTTTTTGCTTAAGGGGGGTTCTGTCACATGCATAAAGCATATTTGCTTGCAAGGTTGATATTGATATTTGTAATAAAACGTTCATAAACCGGGGTCATGTCAGGTATTTTTTGGTCAAAGGTTATGGATGTTTATATGTATTATGGCTGAGAACATTCTTGCCCTCTGCCCTGAGAACAAGAAGCCCAAAGCAAGCCGAAACTGTCTCCCAAAGTACTGTCTTCTCTACCCTTGAAACATGTTTGTGTAAACAAACATATATGTATATATATATATATATATATATATATATATATGTATGTATGTATGCATGCATACATACATGCATACATACCGGTACATGCATACATGCCGGTACATGCATACATACACGGGTGTATACATACAGTGAGGAAATAAGTATTTGAACACCCTGCGACTTTGCAAGTTCTCCCACTTAGAAATCATGGAGGGGTCTGAAATTTTCATCTTAGGTGCATGTCCACTGTGAGAGACATAATCTAAAATAAAAAATCAGAAAATCACAATGTATGATTTTTTTTTATTTGTGCGTTACTGCTGCAAAAAAGTATTTGAACACTATGCCACCCACATTTTGTTGTTATCACTACTGGGAGTTGAACCAGTGATCTTCCAATTACAGGCCTACCTTTTCTAAACTCTGCGCCACCACTCCCCTTACCCCTCTCATGGCAGGTGAATATTTTTAACCAGTATTTTATACTATTAAGATCTGATATCAGGGCAGGTTACATAAATATACATAAAATGGATACACATGAAGTCAGTGTCAGAGTTTCTTTGTCATTCGCACCACACGTGGTACATGTGGAATGAAATTGTGTAAACAGTGTTCCAGTTACATCCAACAACAAATTGTAAAAGAAAAACAGTAATAATATCTAGAATATGAACTAAGGTAAAACGATGACTAAAAATACGCTAAGCACGAATAGCATAAAAACAATATGCCGAACAGCAGCACAAACATGAGTCTGTGTGTAAACAGATGAGCACGAACGAACACAGCAACATGAAACAGATCAGCAGCAACATGAAACAGATCAGCAGCAACATGTGATTTTTCACAGTGATTATTCTGGTTAGATATTCATGAGTCTAACAGCCTCAGGGTAGAAGCTGTTCCTCAATCTAGTAGTTCTACCCTTATGTTCCTGTAGATGAACATCTTAGTTCACTACACTCCTTAACCTCCTTCCTGAGGGGAGCGGGGCAATAAATGTGTGTGCTGGGTTAGTGTGGTCCTTCATGATGCAGGTGGTCCTCTTCCTGCATCTGGAGGTGTAAATGTCTGTGAGGGTGGGGAGGCTGACTCCAGTGACCATTCACAGAAATGAGACACATTATCTGCTTATTTTTATTCACCTCACAGCTCAGTTCAACATAGTTCAGGGGTCAAAGCTAGCTGGATGACCGGCTGGCTAGCTAGTCATCCAGCTGTGTAAGAAGACTGCAGCTGGCTTAATGGACACCCCTTGAAAACTCAGAATGTGCTTTTAGTCAAAGTGTCAGTTTCACTTGTTTGTAGTTTGTTTTGAGTATTGACAGATTTCAGTATTACACAGGATTATAGCTGTTTTTATTTTTTGCGATTTGTATGTGTCAAGTTTTTAGATTTGATTCCATGCCGTGATATAACTTAACTGTGATCATTGTAATGCATTGAATGATCATAAATGTAAAATAATTAAGTTTTTGCATTTATTCTGATTGTGTTTGTGTAGTTTGTATTGTTATCAGTCATGTAGGTATTTAATCTTCAAGTACTTTTAGCTACACAAAAGTCCATAAACTGTTATTTTCAAATATACCACGTATGTGTTTCTGCCTTTATATAACTTGGTTATATTCAAAAGAGGGACATTTTTAAAAGTTTAGCTTAAATAGTCAAAACAATTTAAAATATCCTTTTTTATTTTTCCGATTGGCAGACCTCTGCCGTAAATGACTGTTTGACTCATAGGATTAGATTTTAAAGATTTAATTCTCTTGGTGAATACTTGAGTATTTTATCCAATGTTAATGTTTGGGTTTGCATCCCAGGGTTGAGGGGGCATGATGAATTTTCTTACTCTTGACAGGAGGCCTGAGAAAAAACAAAACACTGTTAGAACCAATGGCCTAATGCAATATGTTAAAATTGGCTTAAGTATTAAAATAATGGGACGTTTACTGAAATCTGATGTTGATTCTTTTACGGCCTACAGCTTTTATTTATATCATTAAACCCATGGGAAAACGGTTTCACATTAATGCATATCACAGTAACTTTAAGGTGGCAGATTATTTTGTAGTATTTTCTTAAACATTCTTACGCAAGATCTTTGATTTGTCTTTTGTTTTCTTCCTCAGGCTTTATCTTTGATCGTCCTGCCTTTCATTCCAGCATCCAACCTCTTCTTTCCAGTGGGTTTTGTTGTGGCTGAGAGGGTACTTTATGTTCCCAGCATGGGATTCTGCGTGCTCGTTGCACATGGATTCAAAACTATGTCACATAGAGGGTGAGTATTTGTGTAAATTGATCATAGAAGTACCTAAAAGTAGGTAGACGCGGTTTATTGCTGCATTGTCAGTAAAGACACACAGCAGTAAAACCACAGGATGCAGACCCACATAGCAGTAACGCTGTTTGTTGCGTGCCTAAATGAGGCAGTTTGAAACACAAAAACAAATTCAGTGTCTTAATGACTGAGGGCCATTTCGTTTCACGGTGGATGGTCATTATCTCATGTCTGAACAAAGCTGTACAGTACAGGTGCTGGTCTTAAAATTAGAATATCATGAAAAAGTTCATTTATTTCAGTAATTCCATTCAAAAAGTGAAACTTGTGTATTATGTTAATTCATTACACACAGACTGATATATTTCAAATGTGTATTTCGTTTAATGTTGATGATTATAACTGACAACTAATGAAAACTCCAAATTCATTATCTCAGAAAATTAGAATATTACTTGAGACTAATAAAAAAAAAAAGGATTTTTAGAAATGTTAGCCAACTGAAAAGTATGAACATGAAAAGTATGAGTATGTACAACTCTCAATAATTCAACCTTTTAAATAAAGGTTGAATGAATGAATGAATGAATGTACAGCTCTCAATACTTACTTGGGCTCCTTTTGCCTGGATTACTGCAACAATGCGTCGTGGCATGGGGTCGATCAGTCTGTGGCACTGCTCAGGTGGTATGAGAGCCCAGCTGGCTCTGATAGTGGCCTTCAGCTCTTCTGAATTGTTGGGTCCGGCGTACTTTGTTTTTCCTTTGAAAAACTTAAAATAAACAACCTCTGACAGTTTAAGGCTCCCACATACTCGGGCGTACTTCACGCCGCAGAGGTCCGCACGTACCCAATTAGACTCAATGCAGACTCGAAGCGGACATCCACAAGCCATGTCCGTGCAAAGATCAGTTTTTGCGTACGTGTACTCTGTGTCGCACAATAAACTGGCCTGTGACGGACTGTTTTGTATGCGATCTATGCGACACCAATGTATTAAATCCCCCTTCTTCATCCCTGATCTGGTTTAATGGCCTTTTCTTTTGTTGTTTTGTCAAGAAGCAATCGATCTCTTCCTCCTTGTTCGTTGACGCCATGACTGAAATTGTGAGGGGGGGGAATAGATGAAGCTTTTCAAAAATGTGGAATTAGCTGAAAAATCTAAATTTAGCATAAATACGAGCTGAAACTATCAAAAATAAACTGAAATGAGCATAACAAGCTGAAATTAGCAGAAAGAAGTTAATTAGGCTGCAAATACCAGAAATGATCACAAAAAACTTGAATTTATCTGAAAACAGCCGAAAATAGTTGAAATTAGCACAAAAAAGCACTGCTGAAAAGTAGCTAAAAAGCTACTTAAATTACCAATAGGAAGTTGAGAGAGCAGATTTTTGATGAATTAGGCTGAAAAAAGTTTAAATGAGTGTAAAAATTGTGAAATTAGCTGAAAAATATTTTGCATAAAAACGGCTAAATACTAGCTGAAACTAGCAGAAATAAGATGAAACGAGCATAACAAGCTGAAATTAGCAGAAAAAATGTTCATTAGGCTGCAAATACCAGAAAGTATAACAAAAAACTTGAATTTATCTGAAAACAGCTCAAATTAGCTAAATATGCTAAAAAAAAATTGCTGATAAGATAGAACAAGCTTAAATTAACATAAGAAATCACAAAGAACGCATGCTTGCTGAAAGAAGCAGAAATGAGCACAAAAAATGCAAATTATCTGGAAAAAAGTTGAAATTAGCGCAAAAAACTGCTGAAAATTAGCTAAAAAGCAGAAAGAAGCTTTAATTTCCAATAGGAAGTTGAGAGAGCAGATTTTTGATGAATTAGGCTGAAAAAAATTTGAAAGTAGTGCAAAATGTGGAATTAGCTGAAAAAGCTAAAATTAGCATAAAACTGCTTAATTGTAGCTGAAATTTTTTAAACTAGCAGAAATCGGCTGAAAGGAGCATAACAAGCTGAAATTATTGGAAAGAAGTTAATTAGGCTGAAATTAGCAGAAATTATTATGAAAAACTTGCTTAAATGCTTATTAGCATGCACACAATTATTATCTCAATAGTCCTTGTCCTAGTATGACTTTCATTGGCAACAGGAAAAAAAATATATACAGTATTTAACATAACATACAATAGGGTTTCATCCTCAGCTGAAAGCATGGAAACACTGCTGCTTTGCAGCTGCTGTGCAGCTGCGTCTCTTAGGTACAGCAAGCTTGGACCCCTAATTAACATGCTTCTGCAGAACATGAGGTAATTTAACCATTGAATCAGGTGTATTGGAGCAGGGAAGCTAATTAAACATGCAGGATAGTTGCCCTCGAGGACCAGGATTGGGCGCCACTGGTTTAGTCTGCTTGTGAAATACTTTGGTGAATAAATGTGTACCAGTATGTCTTTTAAATATTTTGCAAGGCTGTTCAAACTCTTATTGTTCTGAGTTCAGTTGAATTATATTCAAATATATTTCATATCAGTTCCATTTATTTAAATAGCATCCAGTTATACAAAAAATATTTAAAAAAATTAAATTAAACAGGTCAGTTTCAAATCCAGTTAAATAAAATCCAGTATAGATTTATACAGTATAATTCAATACATCCAATTTCAATTCTAATCCATGAACATGCATTCCCGTTCAGTTGTTATAATACAATGTAATAACTCTCAGATGCGTAGGCCATTAAATTGCTGTTTAGTAAAACGTTTCTGTCTTCAGAAATCGGCAGATTGCATTCGATATTCAGTTTGCTTCTATCCTCCAGCAGCAAACGGTGTAAAGGAACAACTCTTTAAACAGCAAGAAACCTCCCACAGAACTAGAACCAGGGTTAGCAGCCCTCCACCTCAGCTGGCTGCAAGTTAAAAGAACAGACACGAGACAAACAAGCAGAAATGTTTGTACGGGTTTCGTTTCTTTGGGTAAAAAAAAACAGAAACTGGTTAATGACAGTAATAACAGCAAATACACATGGAAAGTGTAGTGAGTAAATACAGCAGCAGAATTACGATCACAATGTCTTGTAGTCTAAGCTTATTGCAGCAATAGGCTTAGACTGCAGCTTGGTTGTTGACAGCTTCATATATTGGAAGATTCAAGTAAGATTTTCAGACATATTGATAAAAATAATTACAAAAGTGTAACGGAGAAGTGACTAATGCACGGACCAGTTTTTCTGTCTCACTTTAGGACAAGATGTCTAATTTAAGTTAACTATTGCAGCTCTATGAAGATGGTTCTGTTAACATTTTTAATGTTAAGGTTAAACGTAATCTTGATCAAAAAGTGTCCAGACATTAGTCCAAGTTAATGCTGTCGGGAGGAAGTGAAAGGCTGCAACATGTGTTCCTAAGATGCTCGGGTCAAAACACTGAGCACAACAGAAGACAAAACTCTGCCCTGTCAAAAGCAAAATATTGAGTCTCATCCAGATGTTTGTTTCTTAAGACATGCTTTTAATGGACTGATTCATCAGGCTTCATGGATAAATATAACTTGATATCATCACCAACTTTATCCCATCCTGTCTAATAACTGAAGATAGGATGAACTTTATTGACCCCCACAGGAAATCGTTGTGCCAGAGTTTCAGTACAAAGGAACATACACAAGGAAACACACAAGATATAAAAAAAAATAACAAATACTGGTGAAGATTCTCAGTCATCCAGGACATGGTAAATCAAAAAAACAACTGGACTTTATTTGTAACTGAAGACGTTTCGCTTTTCATCCGAGGAGCTTTCTCAATTCAATATACACTGTCCGGACAAAAAAAATAAAAGTTGCCACCTGGATTCAACTAAGCAAAAAGGTACGAGCCTCCTGTTGGATAATTAGTGCATGGGTGATTATCTTTCAGCTGCAACAAGTTATTTAACTCCAACTGGTGCAATGAGTTGCTTCTCCTTTCTTAAACAACCGTGTCAAAAGACACATCGCGTGGTCGTGGAAAAGACGTCAGTCTGTTTGAGAAGGGTCAAATCATCGGCATCAAGCAGAGAAAACATCTAAGGAGATTGCAGAAACTACTAAAATTGGATTAAGAACTGTCCAGTGCATTATTAAAAACTGAATCCTGAATGATCGTGATCGGCGATCACTTAAACGTTTGGTGAAATAAAATAGAAGAAAAACAACAGTAGCACTCAGGGCTGTGTTTAATAGTGAAAGTAAGAGCATTTCCACACGCACAATGTGAAGGGAACTCAAGGGATGGGGACTGAACAGCTGTGTAGCCTTAAGAAAACCACTTACCAGTGAGGCTAACTGGAAAAATAGGCTTCAATTTACTAGGGATTATAAAGATTGGACTCTGGAGCAATGGAAGAAGGTCATGTGGTCTGATGAGTCCAGACTGACCCTGTTCCAGAGTGATGGACACATCAGGGTAAGAAGAGAGGCAGGTGAAGTGATGCACCCATCATGCCTAGGGCCTAGTCATCAATGCAAGATCTTGGTGAAAAATTAATGCAACACTGGATGGATGAGCAAGGCCCTTAACCTCCACCATCTGCTCCCAAAAAACAGGTCTCTCTTTAAAATGAGTTCTCGTGACTCAATGAGACTACCTGTATAAATAATGGGTAAATTAAATTTATACAGGTTAGTCTCATTGAGCCTCGAGGACTCATTTACAAGAGAGACCAGATTTTAACAAAGAGTGATGACAACAGTAGACAATCAATAAAAAAAAAAAAAAAAAAAAAAAAAAAATTGAGAAGAATAAATTAAAGTAAATGGTATTTAAAAAAATTTAAAAAAGTTTTGCCTAGTTCAGTTCTCTCTGAGGGGACACTGCATGTAATAATGTCCTGAGAATGCACGCTGTAACTGCACTCATGCAGTGGCATGTAGGAGATGTATGAAGGCAGCAGACCAAGAAGTGATTTAAAGATGAAAATGTACCAGTGAGAGAGTCTGCGTGAAGTTAATGACCAGTTAACCAGTGAATACTGGGTGCAGTGATGGGTACAGTAATCACAGCCAGTTATGAATCTTGGCACACTGTGATAGACGGCATCCAACATCTGCAGGGTGCTTGTAGGAGCGTTCATGTAAATAATGTCACCATAATCAATGGAGGGAAGGAAAGTCACAGTCACAAGGTGTTCCCTTGCATTCAATTAATTAATTCATAGCAAACAGTTAAGTTCTAAAACAGGTCAGGTGCAGACAGAAACATTAAAGTGTTTATTCTAGTGCAGGATTAATTTTATTGTCCTATGTGTAGAAAGGGGAGGAGTTGAAAAGTTTGATAGTCACAGGGAGGAAGGACTTCCTGTGTTGTTCTGTGGAGCACCTCGGTGGTCTCAGTCTACGACTGAAGGTGCTGCGGTACGAGTCCAGGGTGTCATGCAGGGGGTGTGACGTGTTGTTCAGGATCTGGAGCAGGTTCCTCAGCATCTTCTGCTCAGACACCTGTCAGAGACTGAAGCTCCACTCCCACAACTGAACCAGCTTTCCTGATGAGCTTAACGGGTGTTGGCATCAGCTTTCTTCACCCTGCTGCCCCAGCGCACCACAGCCTAGAAGAATGCACAGTACCTAATGAAACCAAAAGTAAAAAGGACCTTGGAAAAACAATTTTCATGTGGTTTTGTGTTTGTAAACATAGAACGATCTATTCATTCAAGACTCAAGATTATCTTGATGGTTATTTATTTTATTTTTTTAAGAAAGAACTTTGAGAGTTTTAATTCAACTTAACAGTCTGGTTCTTTATCAGCAACGCTTTGATCTCAGGTCATCTTAAAAATGTTATGTTTTGACTCGTATCCAACAAAGTCTTAAAACTGTTTATTGCAGACATTTGAAAAAGATTTCCTGGTTGATGGCTGGCGTGCTGTTAACTACGCATGCAGTGAAAACCTTCAACAGAAACTGGGACTGGGAGTCAGAATACACTTTGTTTACGTCTGCCCTGAAGGTAAGGTGCTTAGACTGGGCCACCATGTTGCCAGATTATCCTGGCAGTTCTCCAATGCCTAAACACTTTCATTCACTTTGTGATTTAATTCTCTTGTAGAGTGCCTCTGCTTTGATTATTCAAGACTTTTACTGAACAAAAAAAAAAAAAGGTTGATTGCCAAGCTTATAAAGTGTTTCACCATTTCAGGTTAACAAGAACAATGCCAAGCTGTGGAATAATGTTGGCCACGCTTTAGAGAACCAGAACAATTATGCAATGGCTTTACGATATTTTCTCCAGGCCACTCGTGTCCAGCCAGGTGAGAGACTTCCTTGATAAGACATTTTAACATTTTAAATAAAACGTTTGTGGAAACTTTGTTGTGATAACAAAATTAAAGGGACTTTTGGAGACCTGACAGAAAGTGTTCTTGGTTGTGTACACTGTGTGACTGGGTGTTTCTCACATTCTAGGAAACAACCCAATACCTTGCCAGTATCGAAGCTACATAAAAATGTGTCATTATAGAGGCAACATAAACTGAAAAACAGTGCAAACAATATCACTGCTGTGAAACATTTATCGACAAACTTAAGTTTTGCGAATGACAGAAGATTTTACTTGACGTATTTTAATCCACATAAGCTTTTTAAGTATAGATCAATGTGAAAGAGTTGGCACAGATTCAGGCAGTGACAGTGTATGTCACTCAGAACCATCATTTCCACTTTAAAATGTCCAGAATAACCATTTAAAAGCTGCTTACAAACTTGACTTTCCTGTTATACATATCGGCATATATGCTGTATCTTATTTAGCTACTAAACACATTTTTTATTGTTAAAATAGAAAGAGATCACTTTTGTTTTGTTTTTCAAATTGTCATTGAAATACAAAGAAATTCACAAACTGCCATACAGGGAGAAGGGGTTCTCTGCAGACTGAAAGTGGGCGTTTCTAAAGGACAAACACTGAATGGCTAGCTGTATTTGCTGGCTCTTTAGATAAGTTACATCAGCTCTTTTTAAAAATTGACGGTTTTTATATCTGCTGTCAAACACAAGAAGGTTCTCTTTTGTTCTTGGGTTGTAGGCTGCACCTGACACAGGTTGGCGTGAGTGTGGTCTGGGTACAATGAAATATGAAGCATCTGAAGCTAAACCTGCTCCCATTTGTCAAAAAGTCTGGTCTCAATTAAAGATTATGAGTCCTGTAACGAGATAATGGCCCAAAACAAAAGCTGAAAACAAAATGTGCTCTTTAGAAGTTCTTCTATGAGATCTGATCTATGAAAGGAGCTGAAACATGGAGAAGGACTGACCCTTAAAATGTGAGACAGCTGAGGAAGTTAACCAGTAAACAGAAATACCTGCTCCAGTTGCAGAAATCTTACAGAAACTGACAATCACTCATCTGCAGTGACTGATTTAAAAGGTTGAACAAGAAAATGTGAAGTTAAAGGAAACATCCTTTGTCCCAAAGCCAGTTTAAGTATCATTATTATTTTGGTTACTTTATTTTTCTTTCTTTATGAATTGATGGTAACTATTTTCACATTATTCAACAACCAAAATGGATTTTGTTTTTTAATGTAATGGCTAGGTATTAAAAAACAAACATTTAGCACTCCCCACTACCCATTTATGCTGCTCTTATTTTGAAATGTAACCGGAAGTTCTGTGTTAAGAGAGGCAGAAAGAGAAGTTATGGAGACGCCGATGATGTTGAACCGGCTAACACAATCTGCCTGCCATTATACTCGGGTTATACTTGCTTAATAACTCTTCTGATAACTTCATCCAATCAGGTGTAGTCCCATAGTAACACCTTGTTTATTTATT